AGATCGCCATAAGCGTGGTAGAAACACCAACTATCGTGCTGTTGTCTCTATGATCACAAATAACCGCCTAGTCACGGCGTTTGTTTTGAGCATGTTCAAAACAAACGCCAAATTTCTGCGATCTGACCTGGAAAGCCTACACACATCTCAATTAAAAAAATAAACCTGTACAATATGTAAATCCTAAAATGACACAGTTTGCGTCGAGTGGACGTTAAACCACAGTTGTCTAAGATTCTGTCTGTCAGCTAGTAGGCTATACAATTTATTTACTATAGTTAGAGATCGGAAAACAGTATCAGCGATGGTCATAGGTCGCTCATTTTGAGATAAACGTATGTAAAATATGATTTCTATGATTACGTGACAAATGAGGAAGTATAATTTACCAATTATCAATTGTTCTTTTACGTGTGTCGTGCCGGACGGAGGGCCTGACAAAGACAGCTGTCTAGTTGTTCGGAGGGTACGAAAAACCGAGGTCCCGTGTATACATTGACGTGCACGTAAAAGATCCCTTGGCAATTGGAATTCGATATAAGAGTAGGCCATAGCTCCGTTGTCCAGGCAAAATTTCCCTCATAGCACACTGTATGGCGTATGTCCGTCTTCATTAGCCCAGGCGGAGCAGAACAGTAGGGCGTTAAATCCTATTTTATTCATTCATTCATTCGTTTACGTGTACACCAATGTGAACACCGATGTACCCGAGTTACGTCCGAATGATGGGTATAACTTATGTACGAATTGCATTAGATTATTATCAGAAATTCAAAAGTCAATTAATTAGGAAATACGGTAGAGGTACAATGATTTATTTCTATCCCGGGTTCGCCCACGCAGTGTAATGTCAGGTTCCCACTATCACGATTCGCGCTACAATTGAAATCGTGGTTTTAATCGTGGTCTATTCGTGGTGATTCTATCAGATCTTATCATATATTGAGGCATTTGTGGCAATCAAGTTGATCGTATCGACACATATCCGAACCTATCTGCACATACCTTTTCCTGGACTCAATAGGGACATTATATATATGACAGTTTTAATTGTGTTTTTATATTGACAAAATAAACAGTTCGTGCTTAATGCTTGTGTCGATTGATCGTTACTTGTATTTGATTTCTTTGATAATACTAGGTTCCCACTATCTCGAGTGGTTTTAATCGTGGTGATCATATCGAAATGAAATGAAATGGGGTTTAACGTCCTACTGTTTTGCGTATGCCCGGCTAATGAAGACGGGCATACGCCATACAGTGTGCTATGAGGGCAATTTTGCCCGGGCAGCGGCGCTACGGCCTACTCTTATATCGAATTGCAACTGCCAAGGGATCTTTTACGGACACGCCAATTTGTACACGGGACCTCGGTTTTTCGTCCCATCCGAACGACTAGACAGCTGTCCTTGTCAGGCCCTCTGTCTTGCATTACTGACAAGGGGAAACCACGCCGGAAAATCTGGATGAACGTTCTCGGCCAATGCAGGGATCGAACACCCGACCTCCAGGTTAGCGAGCCACCGTCTTACCCACTTAGCCACGTGATCCTACCAGGTCTGATCATATATTGAGGTTAGTCGTAGCAATCATGTTGATCGTATTGAGACGTATCCGAATGGATCTGCGCGCACCAGATCGTGGACTCAATATGAACAATCCTATCGTTATGCAGCACATGACAGTGGAAACACTGATATCCGCTGGTTCAAGACTTACAATGGTGTTTGAAGCACTCATTCCTAAATGGTGTTTGAAGCAGTCATTCCTAAATGGTGATTGAATTATTCACTCCTAAATGGTGTTTGAAGCACCCATTCCTAAAAGGTGTTTGAAGCACTCATTCCTAAATGGTGTTTGAAGCACTCATTCCTAAATGGTACTTTATATGAGAGCATTATAACCGAGTTATGTGCAAACTGATTTGTGCTGTTGTGGCTTGTCTAAAACTATTCACCAAAGACGAGCGAATTCCCTTCGCATTGATAGATTTGTACATTTTCCTAACCCGTGTGCGGATACAGGAAGTATTTGTCTTGAACTGGTTCATAATTGTCTAGCAAGAATTTTATACATTGTCAGCTACTAAACGTCGGGTCGGGTAGAACGGAAGTGAGGCAGTGGCAACATTCACCATTTCACTGTTATAAACTCAGATATTTATTTCACTTTAATTGATTATTCTTCAAGCTCTAGTTTGGTCATATTTGAACATAATTATGCATCCGAAGAATGACGCGGCCTGTTACGTTGAGTTTTTGGTGTGAGGTGCACGGAACTGTGGGTAAACCACTAGACACGTCAACGCTGATTCATTAATAAATCTCTGACGTCATAATGTCAAAAGCCTGACGCGACCTTCCACTAAAACTTGTCAGATCTTCATGTAGTGTAGGCCATCAAAAGTATAAAAAACAAAAGGAAATATAGATCTGTATTTTATTCAGATTTCAACCCACTCTGATAGATTGTCCAAGTTTGTTAAAATGTATATTTAAACCTCTAGATATAGGACAGTGCGCATGGATGCGTATCATCCCCTTTATTTCCATCTGGCTCCGATCCTGGTATATTTAAATCTCTAGATATAGAACAGTGCACGTGCATGTGTACCATCCCCTTTATTCCCATCTGGATATAGGGCTTGTGTATCATCCCCTTTATTTCCACCTGGATTCGATCCTGGTATATATTGGACAGTGCGCGTGCATGACGTGTACCATCCCCTTTATTCCCATGTATCATGCCCTTTATTCCCACCTGGATCAGAGTCTGGTACATCTCTCTCTCTCTCTATCGAGACTAAACTTCACCCATTAGATCAAATATACTTCCATAATTCAATAATCAGTTAAACAAACCTAGATTGTGTTGATTTAACTGATTAATGGTGTATTTTTACTCGCGCCCTTTATGTACCAGACTAATGAACACGTCCAAGTATTAATGAGGGAAACTGAACCATATGTTAGTCCAGAAATGACATAATTTGTGTCGAGTGGACGTTAAACCCCATTTTACTCACTCTCACGTTTTACCAATCAGACTAATGAAAACGTCCAAGTGTTAATGAGGGAAATTGTGTACTAGCAGAGGAACTACGGCCAGGGGATTTGTCGATGACCTTTAGTTTTTGTCCCAGCATTTCCTGCGGTATGGGGCAGGCGGGGCAATCCCGAGGAACGTTGCAGGTCTAAATCGAGATCAATGGGTTAGTGAGCAAGCGCCATATTGACCGATTAAAGGACTGAAGGAACGCCGGTTATATTGTAGTGTTGGGACTTCCGCCTGTTATGAGATTCACTAATGTGATCCCAATTATTTGAAGGTGATTATCACCTGCCATATTTGCTTTCTATTGAGATTGTAGATCCTGGGAATTTGACTGACCAATCAAATTAGGTATTCGGGGTTCTAGAACGAAATGGCGTGAGGTGAGGATATGATTGGGGTTCGGACTATAAACCACGCACGTAATATTCTCTCACATCTGCATTGATAGAAAGTGGGAAAGATTGTACAGAAATAAAACAATAATAAATAAAGAGGTAATAAATTTCCATTTCTATATCGCCAAAATCCCATAAATATTGTACACGTTGCGCTTGACAAGCATATCTACATAAGAGCCTTTAGCTCTCAGTTATAACTTCTTTAAAACAGATGAGTTTTTTAAAGTTTATTAAATGACGGTAATAAAAGTGCATTGGCGAAGGTTAATGGGTAATGAGTTCCGACTTCTAGCAGAAGCTCGTCTTCATTAGCCCAGTTCGGAGCAGAACCGTAGGACGTTAAACCCCATTTCATTTCATTTCATTTCTAGCAGTAGCGACTTCAAACGAACGATAACCAAAATCTGTCATCCTGTAAATAGGGTTTAACGCCCCGTATTCCGCACCAACTGGAGACAGGCATGCGCCGTGCCATGTACTATGAGGATATCCAATTCGTCCTGAACTGCTGAAAGGGGAAAACCACACATGAATATACCGTGTACTATGCAGTGTACTATGAGACTATGAGGAAATTCGATCCGCCCTGAATTGCTGACAGGGAAAAACACACAGGAATATCCCATGGATCTGCTTGAAACGAAACTTAGAAATCGTACAAAGAAACGAAAATAAATTGTAATATAACTTTATTTATCAATTTAAAACCACAATTTTATATTCTGATCATCTTTTGGGATTGATGGCATGAAATGACATGAACAATTGAATACCAGATATTGATAAAATAAACATTACCAACAACCAATCTCTAGTAGTATTTCTTTCTGGCACAAATTTATTTACTATTGTCCTTGGAACATTTCGCCGGTCAATTTTGTAATAATTAAAATATTAATTGTTTTCCACAATATGTTTTTGTGTTTATTACGCGTGTCAATTTCTAAATGACGCTCAAAGAAAAAATAAAATCAATTTTGTAATAATAAGATCACTGATTAACATTACATCACAGACCAATTACTAACATGTCACTGATTAAAAGATCAAAGTATAATTAATATATCACAAATTAACAGATAACTAATTAACAGAAATAAACTATAATTAATATATCACTAGCAGATAGCTACTTAACAGATCAAACGTATAATTAATATATCACTAACAGATAGATAGCTATTTAACAGATTAAAAGTGTAATTAATATATCACTAACAGGGAGATATTTAACATAAACTATAATTAATATATCACAAACAGATGGCTATTTAACAGATCAAACTATAATTAATATATCACTAACAGGGAGATATTTAACAGATTAAAACTATAATTAATATATCACAAACAGACAGCTATTTAACATATCAGACTATAATTAATATATCGCTAGCAGATAACTAATTAACAGATAAACATATAATTAATATATCATTAACAGATAGCTAGTTAACAGAATATAAACTATATGTAGATTAAAACGTATACTTAAGAGATCAGTAACTGATAGCTAAACGTATAATTAATATATCACTAACCGGGAGATTAAAACTGTACTTAGATCAAACGTATAATTAAGCGATCACTAATTGATAGATCACTAATTAACGGATCTAACATGTATTATCATGAACAGTTGTAAACAATACAGAACATCTAATTTCCAACATCCATATCTTGCTCTACATTATTTCAACAATTAAATATTTTAGATTTTGTTTGGTTTTATCGTGTCGGGTTTTGTCTTCTCAGTGAATGACACCACTGGTGTTTGGACCGGTTTTACCTCCATAATATTCGTCTGCAAAACAATAGTAATATTTACAAAATATAAGTTGTTTTCATCTATATCTATTTACACAATATAAGTTGTTTTCATCTATATGTAATTAACTTATATTTCACAATTACAAAATCTATATCTAATTAACTGTCATGGAAATCGATATAAATCAAACGGAAATCGAATCCCCTCTACGCGATACTTCGTGTATTTTGAGAATAACATATTTTATATGGTCACTTCCGCATGTTGTTTCCGTATAGTATTCACAAAATTGCCTCTGTCAAGGCTTATCTAATATATAGCCTACACGGATTGGTCTCATTTGTGTATTATCCCATCCGAGAAAAATGAAATAGGGTTTAACGTCCTACTTTTCTGCCTCGACTGGGCTTATGAAGACGGGCATACGCCATACAGTGTGCTATGAGGGACATTTTGCTGGGGCAACAGCACCATGGTCTACTCTTAAATCGAATTTCAACTGTCAATGAATCTTTTACGTGCACGCCAATGTTTATACACGGGACTAGATAGCTGTCCTTGTCAGGCCCCCGTTAACTTTTCTTATCTCGCTCGTACGATTAATTTTCGTGAATACTTTATTTTAGTGACTTAATAGAGTTTTACACATTCTTTGCACTTACTCTTTTGTGTGCCCTTACTCTTGTCCACAACAGTTCCACCACCAATACTAACACGCCCGAACATACCCCCATGACAACAACCAAGAAACTTCCGGTAAGAGACTGAAGGTCAAGGCCTTGATCACTGGTGTCTTCTGGGCAGGAAACTTTCCCGTCGTCCCACCATTTACGTTTATACGTTTCTAATCGCCGATCTTGCTGAAGATCTAGAATGCTGAAATTTACACGTAAACCTGAATTTAAGTAAGAGCTAATCTGCGTATTGTAGGTCTGTTTGCTGACTTCAAATGCTATATAGATATATTGAGACATTTATTGACATGCTAAGCCCCAATTCAACTCTCTGTGTCATCAGGTGGCTTAGACATTAAATGAATTGGACCCCCCCCCCCCCCACTGTTTATTAATTAATAACCTGGTCGAACAAGGCTAACTAACATTCCATTTTAAGCTTCAATCGACACTGTAACCCAACACCTGGTACCTCAACCAGACTAGTCTCAACCCAGTATCATACTCCAGGAACTACTCGCTTTTTTAAGTACCTATAAAACTATTTTCGCGATTCAGATAACCAAGATGAAATATATTTGGACAAATTGCGGAATCTCTGTTCAAACCAGCACCACCCTCTATGGACTCCTTTAAGCTTTTTAAACAATCACTGGATTATTTTTGCGGTTTGGATAACCGATATAAAATATTTTGATAGAATGTTCAACAGATTGCTGAATCTCTGTACATCAATATAATTAGCGTTGTTACATTATACTAATGTTTGGCTTATAACCAATATACCTAGTACTTCTTTATCTTAACTACGTGTGATTTCTGCCGATTATTGTTAGCAAACTAACCCAATACAAGTTGTAGAATTCCAATATGCCTCGGTAAACTATTGTACATTACATACTAGCCCTAGTCATCTTATTATCAATACATGTTCATTTACGCTTACATTTGTGTCAACCTATCTTACAATAAACTTTGAGATAAGAATTGCCTTGTGGGGGAAAGTGCATGTGGCTGTGGCTCGTGACAAAATTGAAGATTTTGGTGATTGAATGACAAGTAACCGTCATTGTAGTAGCCGTGTATCTTAAATACGGCCTGGGCCAATGATATCAGCTAACAATCAGGGCAACTAATGAATTCATGCATAGATTTTGAGTTGATCACTGATTCCCCAGTCGTTGAAAATGGCAGGATTGTCTCTATAATTGATTGGAGGCCATTCTCACCTGACTGAAGACCAGTCTATCTGACAGGAGACCAGTCTCACCTGAATGGAGACCAGTCTATCTGACAGGAGACCAGTCTCAACTGACTGGAGACCAGTCTAACTGACTGGAGACCAACCAGTCTACCTGACTGGAGACCAACCAGTCTACCTGTCCTCAGTATTAATGAAATATTTTAAGTTTAAAGAAAGGCTGTACTTACGCTGCCGATATTTTCTTGGTATAAACAGAATTTTCTTTCAAGGCAAAGGCATAGGGTCTTACACTAAATTGGTCTCCTATGGACGTCAGATCGCAATCTCGTGACGTCAGATACTTTATAATGGGTGACTCGGATATCAAGGCAAAGTTCTCCGACGACACTTTATCAATACCAGCCTGGGTGTCAGAGACAAAACCCGTGCTTTGAATAGCACGCCATATTGTTACGTATTTATCTCCCAAAGGATAATCCCAAACAGCAAAACTGTTATTACCGCCCCCTTCATTATTCTGTCCTAAACTCATGTTCTTCCACAAGGTGTAAAAATTCTCCTCGATGGCCGCCATTCTTTCGAAGTAGTTCATCACTGATGAATGTGCCACGGCGCTATATTTCACTTCCGATTGTGCTGAGAGTGCATCCAGTGAGGATATGGACACACCTAATCTGGAGACGGTGAGAAAGGCAGCTAAATTGGCTGTAAAAGTTGACATCATGATGACCGAGAAAAACCAGAAACCAGCCACCAACAGCCGAGCAGAAAAACTCTTAGGGGGTTCCCCGCCACCTGTATATAGAAATAATGTTCTATATTAACCTGTGTAATAATCAAACACAAGCGATGCGTTCAGGTGAAAGAAAACTTGAAATTAATTTAGATGAACTGTGAAATTTATAGCGTGTTTCAAGGGAGGCACAAGTACCACACTGGACCACATCAAGTGGCACATTCCATCTCATGATATCGATTATCTTATATAAAATAGAAATATGAAATCAAATTTAACGTCCTACTGTTATGTGCCGACTGGGCTAATGAAGACGGACATGCGCCAGCTATGAGGTAATTTTTTCCCGGGACAGGGGCACTATGCTCTACTCTTATGTCGAATTCCGACCACGGATTTTAGTTCAACTCGAACGACTATAGGCCTACGTTGTCCCTTGCCCAGCCCTCCGCCCTGCATTATATATACTATTCAAAAAAAGTAGGGGATATTTGATTTTGGGGGCACAATACTAAAATATGCAAATGACTATGAAAAAAGTCACTATAGAACCTAACAGAAGAAACATTTCCAGTTACATGTGACGCCCAAACGCACCAATAGCTACCGCATGGAATGCAGGTGATGCTTGGGATCATCATGGGGGTCCAACCCAAGATTTGCACGACTCTGACTTTGAATGTTACAGTCATTGTGGCATTGAATTCCAGGGTGGAAACATCAGTTTAATTGTTTTAGTGACCAGAAAACAAATTTTGATATGCGTCGGCTTACCCAAAATGAAAGGTTACGTGCCCTTGGCATGCTACAGATCGGCACAACACAGGCGGTTGTGGCGCGGACGATGAATGTTTTTCAGTCTGTCATAAGCAGGCTATGGTCCAGATACCGTGATACACAATCTGTACAGGACAGACCACGCTCAGGTCGACCAAGGGCGACAACTCAAGCCCAGGATCGATTTATCCGTACCTTGGCCTTGAGAAATCGTGTCATCACAGCAAATCAGATCAGCGCTCGTCTTCAAACAGACACTGGTGTGAGAGTGAGTGGCCAGACGATTCGGAATCGACTGCATAGGGGTCACCTTCGCGCCCGACGTCCTCGCGTGATCCCTTGTTTGAGAGATCATCACATTCAGGCAAGACGTCGTTGGTGTAGGGATCGTCAACACTGGGATAATCGACGCTGGAGCAATGTGATGTTTTCAGATGAATCAAGGTTCACTGTTGATTTTTTGGACAGAGGGTGTGGCGTCGTCGAAACGAGCGCTTCCAAGACGTTAACGTCATCAGCCATGATCGATTTGGGGGTGGTTATGTTATGGTGTGGGGAGGCATCACTGTTGCTGGAAGAACGGCTTTACATGTTGTTGCAGGGCGTGTTACAGGCCAGTACTACCGGGACAACATCTTGGCAGTCCATGTTGTGCCGTTCGCACGATGTCATGGCCGCCGTTTCATCTTCCAGGATGACAACGCAAGATGTCACAAGGCCAGGGTCGTTACAGGTTACCTCCAACAACAGAACATCACCACATTACCTTGGCCAGCACTGAGTCCCGACCTCTCCCCCATCGAGCATGTCTGGGACATGCTTGGACAGAGGTTACGTCAACGTCAACAACGTCCTGTCAATGTCCAAGAACTTGCTGCTGCGTTGCAACAGGAATGGGACAATCTGGACCAAAATGACCTTAGACGTCTCATTAGGAGTATGCCACGTCGGATCAATGCTTGTTTGGCAAACAGAGGAGGATTTACCCGTTATTGACTTGGTTGTGATGCTGTGGTAACTTTGCTGTTTGACCCGGGTATCATTTTACCCTTATAATGGTCAGTCTGTGCCTTACTTAGTCTAACGAACATTTGGAATAAATCGATGAATGTGAACTTCATTTCATTTTGTCATTTGTTTCTTCGTCAGTTTCATTAGGTGACTTTAATAACACTTAAAAATCAAATATCCCCTACTTTTTTTGAATAGTATATTAAAAAAAAACACTATGGCGTTTCTGAATTGTCTGCAATATACCCCTATTATACTAAACGCAATGGTATCACAGAGGTGATTGATAAAATAACGTTTAAGCCCAGAGCGTTTCAGTCCTTGAGGAAAATAAAGTTTTCTTAATTTAAACTTTTGAAGTCCTACGGAAAATATTTGGCACATACGTTAAACCCCATTTCATTTCAGACCGAGTAAATAACATAACGTCACCGAAAGTGCGTGACCTCAAATGCTTCGAACCAAGCAAAACATTGTCTTAATCGCTACAAAAACCGCGACAGGACCAAAACTCAAAATATTCTGATCATCTGTTCGAAAGATCAGAATCGCCATATCTGTGATGGAATGACATTTTTACCTGACATTGTCAAGGATCCAATAACAAACCAGATGCTCTCATGTAGATTAAAGGTAGGTTGGTCCTGATAATCAGGATTCTTACAGAAACCTGGTGCTGGGGAATATTTATCAAATAACATGAGCAGAACGCTGGTTAAGGCTATAACTCCACCCAGACATAACCAAGCTTGAGACGTGAACACATCCGCGAAATAAAACGTGTTCACTTGTTGCGTCTGTTTCTTCATCATGATCTGGATACCAGCGAAGTCGTAGTAAGGTAAAGTGTAGTCGACCACTGTTTCTCGGTCAGCAGTCACTGTCATGGCTCCAACTATTATATCAGCATCCTGAAATATCATTGTAAATGAAATGGGGTTTAACGTCCTACTGTTCTGCTCCGATCTGGGCTAATGAAGACAGGCATACGCCATACAGTGTGCTATGAGGGAACTTTTGCCCGGACAGCGGCACTACGACCTACTGTTATATCGAATTCCAACTGTCAAGGGATCTTTTACGTGCACGTCAATGTGTACACGCGACCTCGGTTTTTCGTGCCATCCGAATTACTAGACAGCTGTCCTTATCAGTCCCTCCATCCTGCATCACTGACAAGGAGAACCACGCTGACCAAAGCAGGTATCGAACACCCGACCTCCAGACTCGCAAGCCAGTGTCTTACCCACTTAGCCACCGCGACCCCCGAATGTTATTGTAGATAAGAGAGAAGGTTTTAACCTCCACTCAACAGCAATTAACGAAATACAATTGGTTTAACGCTCTAGCTTTCTGCGCCAACCGTGATAATAAAGATATACTTATAGCAACACAGTAGGCTATGATAGACATGTTGCCCGGGCGGTGGCATTTTCGCCTACTCTTTCAAGTGTCTTTTGCGTACTCGCGTGTTTTTCGTCCCACGCATGACTCTCCATACTACAGCATTCAATTTCATCGACCATCAACGCTATAGATCCCGGGCCCCCTTCTGAGTAAACAGGCGCCTTACACGCTAGGTCACCACGACTCCCAATTTTGTGGTAGCTAAAAACCATGCTATATATAACACCAAGTAGAGATTAAGAGCAATGTGATTCGATTTCCTTTTTTCCTTGTATTGATTGGGTTTATTTGTTTAACAGATATGGTGACAATAAATCGTGATATTTTATTGCTTGTGTTTCAATAAATACATGGAATACTGACCCCTTTAAGAATATTACCAACGCATCCATTCCACAACTGGTTACTATCTAGGTTACCATAGAGACCATCGTCACATTCACGTACAGTAAAAGTAAACCCAATCCTTTCGGCTATATCGTTCATGACGTCGATACTGTAACCATAATACGTCACGCCTGTACCACTTTGGTTCCGAAATACAAACGGCGGCTCCTGTTACAAGATATTAAGAAACTAAGCATTATAAGATACATTGATTTCTGGTTTATTGTCTGAAGTATGAAGAGATTATTTCTCTCACGTGTGTGGAGGATGGGTGGTCGAATGGTCTAAAGTGTGTGTTTTTGATTATAAGGTCTGACATTGAGTCAAGTGACTAGACACCGTCCTTGACAGGTCTTCTGTGTTTCACCACTGACTGTGACCTTATCATCAATAACTCAATGCAGCAGAGCCACACTTTATAAAATAAATCCCTTTTTGTCTGGGGTTTTATCCTGAATGGATATCGACATGTATATTTATTATACCTAATCCTAAATACATAAAACTCCATTTGTCCCAGAGATGTATCACTTGGGTCGAGGAACAACGAAGATGGTTAATTATGAAATCAATACACAGATTCAAAACGGTTAAAGATATATTTTGCTTAGGTAGTGTTCTTCTATCAAATTAATCCATACAAAACGTATAGCTGCCAGATCTGTTGAAAGTGTCATAAAAACATATTCGTTGTGTTCGTGGACATAGCCTATATGGTTATGGTATAGTATTCATGAAATAATCTGAACAAATGTATTTGTTTTAAAATCTATTCGTATTTTTCGTGGACATAGCCTATTAGATTATGATACAATATGCCAAGGGGTAATTCTGTCCCGTTTGCTGAAATTGTTATAAAACCTATAAAACCTTTTTCCTCTCACGTAGATTTTTATTTTTCTGATTGTAATGCATATAATATAATTACCACTACAACAGCAATCCTGAGTACTACCATGGAATCATTATTGAAGAACAGTTGTTCGTTTGCAAACATTCCTGTATCTGGTTGCCATGTTCCTATCTATAGTCAAAAACAAAAAGAAGAAAGCAAATTTATTGTGTGAAATTAATTTGATCTTTGTTCAAACCATACATATATTGTTTATGTCTTTTAAGTACACTGCAATCGACTTTGAACTAAAATGGCAACATAGTAATAAAACGTGACGAATACAGGGAGACAAACAACGTCATCAACTAATATAAGACCAAGCAACAACTGATACAAAAACGGACATGGGACCAATACAATAATAGCCACGGGGTTAATACAAAAACAGGTATGGGTTCAGTACAAGTAGAAGTATGAAATCAGTACGAGAGAAAGCATGGAACCATTGAACAATAACAAGCTTCAGACCAAGTAACCAGTACAAGGACAGGCATGGAACCATAGAACAAGTACACGAACAAGCATGGGACCATTGAACCAGTATAAGAATCAGGATGGGACCATGGAACTAGTACAGGCATGGGTCCAATGTAAGAACACTCATTGGACCAATATAAAAACACGTACAAAACAAACTTGACTACAATGTTGTCTCTTGTATGCAGGCTTAGTATGTGGTTTAAGCTACTCCTACAATGACTTATCATTGAGTGATGTAATACATTTACCTTGTTACAATGACTATCCTTGAGTGATATTATACATTTACCTTGTTACAATGTATGTCATTGGTTAATATTATTAGCTTATCTTGTTACAATGATCATCATTGGGTGTTATTATAAACTCATTTTGTAACAATGATTATCATTGGGTGATCTTAAAATAACTTTGTTAAAATGACTATCATTGGGTGATATTATAAACTTGCCTTGTGACAATGATTATGATTAGTTGTTATAAAACTTACCTTGTTACAATGATCATCGTATCTATATATATCTACATCTACAGGTAATGTTGTTATACCATCAGTTGGTAGATAAACACCGAACCCACCATCACCTGTCTAACGGTAAAACTAATTTTATAGATGACATGTTCAAAACAGTTAAAATTTCCATTCATAAGGGTCACCGTACACAGGGTCCAGGTACATGAAATGAAATGGGGTTTAACGTCCTACCGTTCTGCTCCTGAGCTAATGAAGACGGGTATACGTCATGCAACGTGTTTTGCCCGGACAGCGGCGCTACGGCCCATTCTTATATCGAATTCCAGCTGCCAAGGGATCTTTTACGTGCATGCCAATGCGTACACCCTGCACCTCGGTTTTTCGTCCCTGTCAGGCCATACGCCCTAAACCTATGATAACGGGAAACCACGCGGAAAATTCCTGTAAACTTTCTCGGCCAATACCGGGAGCGAACTCGCGACCTCCGGGCTAGCGAACCAATGTCTTACTCACTTAGGCACCTTGGCCACGCCGAGGTACATAATGTCCATTGTAAATGGTCCAAAGGTAAAACTTTAAATATGCAAAATGATCCAATATGGAAAATGTACAGACCAAAAGGGTCCAATATCCAAACAGGCCCACTGACGATTGCCAAATTTGTCCTCTTGAATATTCTCTTCTTTGCATATTTTAATATTTTTCTATTTTGCACTGGAATTTTTGACGTTAAACATATTTAATCAATAATGCCAGTGTACTACTGAAGTGGTACATTATAGATTAGTGTCAGATGAAAGCTCCAAGGGTTATATTTCTCCATATATCTAGAAAAGGCTTTCATTATTAACTTCTGGGACATCATAGCATCTCTTGATTTTGGTACATACTATAGAAAATACCAAGACTGAAATAGATCCATGTCAGAGGAGTGCCGCAAGGTTCGGTTTTTAGGTTTCATTTCTCCATATACTTATAGAATACTTTCTTAATTAGTAAGCCATGTAATGGTGTATACCTATGGCATCCAATGCACAATTGAAGAATTATAATTTATTTTTTGTAGATTAAATAAAACCTCTTAATCCATTCATGGCCAACTAATGCACCATACTTTCGCATGGGTGTAAATATAGGCTGGGTATATTTGAAATGAGTTTATGTTGCTATTACCTCATTTATTGCGTTTTTAAAAAGTTGTCGACAGTCTGTCTCGCACTGATCAGTGCAGTTGAATTCACAGGTTATGGTGGTGTCACTGGTTAAAGACTTGTCCATGTATTTCAAAGCCGCGTCTACAAATCTGACCGATTTCTCTTCATAATTCATGGTTACAACCTGGTATTAGAAAGGTACAAACAAGGGAATAAGACATAAGTAAAATAGGAATACCAACTTAATGTAGTAATATGTGATGCGGCTTTAGAAAAACCAACTACAACAAGTCTTTGTTAAAGTAGAAATTTTATTATTAATTTATAAAAACCATGCCCAGCCTTTCTTAAAGTAGCAATTTTATTATTAATTTATAATAAACACGCCCAGTCTTTGTTAAAGTAGCAATTTTATTATTAATTTATAAAATCCAAGAATCTCCAGTCTTTGTTAAAATAGTAATATTATTATTAGTTTATTAAAACCCACCACGTCCAGTCTTTGTTAAAATAGTAATATAATTATTAATTTATAAAAAAACAACTACGTCAAGTCTTTGTTAAAGTAATAATTTTAATATTAATTTATAAAACCGACCATCTCCAGTCTTTGTTAAAGTAGTAATAGAATTATTAATTTATTAAAACCCACCACGTCCAGTCTTTGTTATAGTGGTAATATTTTTATTAATTTATAAAAACCAACCAAGTCCAGTCTTTGTTAAAGTAATGATATTATTATTAATTTATAAAAAAAAACAAGTCTTTGTTAAAGTAGTAATATTATTATTAATTTATAAAAAACAATCTTGTTAAATCGTTACACAGAGTTAAACATTATGTATATTATACTGATCGTACAAACATCCACATTTATCAATATTAACGTTATCGTTTTTAAACTGCACGTATCTGTCGGCTGCCAATCTGGTTAAAACACAGATCTTATTTCGTTTCGTTTTTATCGTTCAAGGGGATCACGTGGCTAAGTGGGTAAGGCGCTGGCTCGCTAGCCTGGAGGTCGGGTGTTCGATCCCTGCATTGGCCGAGAAAGTTCATCTCGATTTTCCGGCGTGGTTTCCCCTTGTCAGTGATGCAGAAAGGAGGGCCTGACAAGGACAGCTGCCTAGTCGTTCGGATGGGACGAAAAACCGAGGTCCCGTGTACACATTGGCGTGCACGTAAAAGATCCCTTGGCAGTTGGAATTCGATATAAGAGTAGGCCGTAGCGCCGCTGCCCGGGCAAAATTTCCCTCATAGCACACTGTATGGCGTATGCCCGTCTTCAATTAGCCCAGGTTAGGTGCAGAAGAGTAGGACGTTAAACCCCATTTCATTTCATTTTTATCGTTCAAAATTTCATTTTATTTGTCTGTACTACACTAGGATCTGGACCTGTGTTCTGGATAGCGTGAGAGATTAGCCAATGAAACTATCTGTTACGAGGACCTCTTGGCGTGAAATACACGGAACTGTGGGTAAACCACTAGAAACCACTGATTGATTAATCAATGTCTGGCGTCATAGGGTCAAAAGCCGCTCGTACAACCCCTGACGCTACCTTCCAGTACAACTGGTCAGATCTTCTTGTAGTGTAGACCATCGAAAGTATTAAAACACGAAACGAAATATAGATCTGTATTGTAATCAGATTGTGTTATAGATTGTGGCTTTATAGTAACTAATGTTTACAGTAGATGCTGCTATTGACAGATTAACAATGGGACAATATTCTAGAATATTTACAGTAATGTAGCTGAAACTGTAAGAATTATTTAAACTATTATTCTAAAATCAGTATGATTAATAACAACAAAGGTATCTGGTTCGCGTAGACTTATAACGGTTTTAATGTACCAACCTAGTACACTAAACACGAATACAAATCAGAAAAAGTATCTGGTCCGCATAGACTTATACCAGCTCCAATGTACGGTGGGTGAGTGTACCAACCTAGTACACTAAACACGTTTAGTCACTCGACTATATCAGCCATAAATAACAAACAGCATTTATTTTCACACATTGTAAAAATATGTGGTAAAATGATGACCTGATTGAACGTGGTCTGAGTTTGAATTATTAAACGTGAAAACACTAACGACCTAGACCTGTGATTGCTTGGGGACACAACTTTGCGTGTAAGTATCGGGTAAAACAGGTTATTGGACATTGATATGAAATCAAACAGAGACGGTATATCCCTAGATGATTATTTGTCCTTAGTGTAGACAGTTCATTATAATATGTAATTAGTGCTGGTATTGTACCCACCCTACCAAATATCTAAATATTACATTATTGTTTTCTTTGAACACGATCATCAGCGATTTTACTTCCTTGTCGTAATTCTTTTTATATTTATTTTCGTGAAATTCATTTTTTTTTATTCGTTTTGTTAAAATAGAATGCTTTCTTTAATCCTTTGAAATCAGCTGAGTCATATTCACACAACAATTTTAACAATTCATCCCTTCCATTGGCCAATTAGATTTTAAATCGCAACCAATGACCTCTCTGCATCTTTAAAATATGTTAGTTTAAGTGGCTGTGAATCAGGCCTTTATACTGTTTTTGTCAGTTATTTTATCCAATTTGTACAAAATGATATTTTACAATCTGTTTCACAGAGGATTACGAAAGTTTTCTAATAACTCTGTAAAAGATGACTGGTTTCAACATGACGTCACATACGGCGTCAATCATTGGCCCATTGGCGCGTGCATGTTTTACCTAAGACGTTACTAGTCCGGGCAGAATGGTGTCTTTTACTCATTTAACCTACTCATTTACACTAAATAGTACATATTTTTACCTACATATACTTCAATCACCTTTATTTATTTTTCTAATGTTTAAATAAAATGTTCTAGAATTGAATTTGCAGAAGGAAAAATGTTATATTGTAAGCCCATTAATTCTAGCGAATATACACTGCTGATCAGTGTGGATATTCTATTGTGTCAACTGTTTGTCTTTGTTTTACTTACGTTGTGTGTTGGATTTCTGTCTCTAAGAATTATAACATTAGATTGTTGACAGACATTACATTCTGGAACTCGACCATCTGTAGCATACATTATCCATCTATACCGTCCTCTTAACATGTCTAAACGATGGGCCTACGTTCAAATATAAATAGAACGATTTTATTGGTTCATATCCAATTAAAACAATTTATTGGCTAATATTCAAATACAAATAGAACGATTTCATTGGTTAATATCCAATTTAAACAATTCCATTGGTTCACTATTGGTTAATATCTAATTAAAACAATTCTATTGGTTACAATGCATATAGAGCCATTCTATCGGTTAAAGTACGCATAGAACCATTATATTAATTTACGATTAAAACAATTCCATTTGTTAAAATACAGATATAAGAATGCTACGGGTTAATGTTTAAATAATACAGTTTGTTGGTCAATGTACTAATATCGGAAATATGAATTATATTTGATAATAAACACATTATATAATTTCAGTAGCTTGATAATGAAATATGTAATTAATGCACCTGGATTAATGTACATGTCTAAACAATAGTTAATGTACACATATAACGATAATTTTAAATGTTAATACACAATGATAATCGGGGTAACAGTGTGGACTTTCAATCAAAATAATCGTGATACCAGAAATTTGACTCCCTGTTAAACTAATCGTCATATCAGAAGTTCGACTCCCTATCAAAGCAATAGCACATAAAACAACCATGTATCTCTCAGTTCAGACTATTCTGTTTATCTGGGGGCATCTGTAATGTGCTAGTTAAGTTTGGTTGATTTGGAAATTTACTTATGACAGAAATATTCAGTTACCCAAGTCTCCTACCATTATCATAAGCATGGTTTTATCAGGATAGTTTCGATCTCCCGGTTGTACGTGACATGGGGTGGGATCGCCTGTCGAACCTGGTGGTTTTTCGCCGGGTCCTCCAGTTTCACCCTCTCTCTCTCTCTCTCTCTCTCTTGATCAAATTTATTAATGTGGAAACTGAGACTATGCCTGGTTCCATTTCCGATTGTATTTATCTAGGGGCACCTCTGTGAAAGATGTGGTGGGTTCTCCGTAGCTTACAGTCTTATTTATTAATGAATGTGTGGGGTTTTAGCTTACAAGTTTTCCCGAGGCGTTGCTGTATCTCTTGCCACAGAGCATGGTTTTTGGATGGGCTGTCTTAGCTAAGAGTTTGATTCATCCAGCAATGTGTGATGTTATAGCTTTCTGGTTTAATAGGGGCGTTGGTGTACTTCTTGACATAAACATGTTCTGCAATAATCCATACCATGGATATGACATAGTTCAGGTGTGACTTGAGACTGTGTCTATGACTAAACTTATACTTGGCTATATTGATTGATTCCCGGGCTTTTAGTCAGCTAAATAAAATCCCCGTTTCTTTGTTTGTTATCAAAACTCTTATCTTACTCTCAAAAGGTTGTGCAATCTAATAAATAAATTCGATTGTTCAATGATCTCCCGGAGCAACGGTTGAAACAAAATCACAATATAATGCAAATACATAAATTGACAAACAATAAAACTTCCATAGAATATAATTTATGGACTACATCGAGTCGGTAATGAAACTAATATTGTTTTTTTGTAGTTTATTTGATCTTTCTCGTAGAGCAATATAAAACTAACCAATTCCTGTTATCTAATTATGAATGTTCTGTGTTTTCGCCAAGATGGGATATCGAACAGTGGGGTTTAAAATAATAGATAACATACAATGGACAATGTCGGGATGGTGTAATTGTGGGATCAGGGTGTAGGGTGTAATGGGGGGTGGAGGCAGCGATATATAAAAATGTGTAGAATTAATTGTTGTCATAGAACATATACCTATCGTCTATACATCAATTCTTCCTACACGGAATATTTTATTCCCCTAAAGATTGAATGATCCAAATTTTTAGATTTGTCTTTTTATTTTATTTTTGTTTTGTTTTGGGTTTTTTTTTTGGGGGGGGGGGGGGGGTCTGTTGTTATTTTTTGTTGTTTCTTTCGAAAGTGGTGTGGCAGGATATACCCTGAGAAAATATGAATGAATTACCTCTTGCAGCATGATTTCTTCACACTGTGACGTAGCAAACACGAATACAACCTTGACCTCTGTTTTAGCTGTCAAGTTTTTCAGTTCGTTTGAGACGTTACACGATATGACAGGGATATCAATCTGAAACAAAAGACTGGCCGATTCAAGATGACGCTGGTACTTGTGATCTGAAAGAATATTGATATAAACCACAATAAACAAACAGTAAATTAAATTTTTATCAAATTATGAAATGGTCAAGGATTTTATATAAGTAACATAAGGACCAGAACCGGATATGGCGTCATTGCTTCTGTTTTGAAATTATAACGTCAAATCCCAATCTCTCCTCAATCGATGCAGAATTGTTAATGGAATGGGCATGCCAAGTTTCATGTCAATTATATATTTATAAGAGGAATTTTCTGAGTAATTAATCTCGATTCGACTTTTAAATAAAGGAATTAAAATAATCATACCAAGGCCAGATTTATCAAACATAACAGCCACCGAGTCCGTTGAAGCATTTGTGTATTTCTCTAAATCTAATAAAAACGTTTTATATGCAAACGCCACTGTTCTAGCCTTTATAGACATATCTATCAGTTGATTGGATAAACCATGACACGTGTCAGTTCCTAGTGTGACGTAACTGAGAGCATAGGCCTGCAATAATCCTATAGGGCAGAACACTTTGTTGCTATCAATAACAGCCAACCATTTCCTATTTGTCTTATACTCTGTAATAGAAAAATAGTTATGTATTCTTAAAGATTCCACATCAATACAAGCAAAATATATTTTACATAACATAGATGTTCGCTTACCATTTTTCCAGAAATCAAATATTTCTTTTCCCTCTAGGTACTTGACAGAATATGACGGAGTAAAGGATAAGGGTGTGGATTGGTTAAGACCATACTCGGACAGCTTATCGGCATATCTGGTTAAATAGTCTTGTCTGTTTCTTTTAATTACAACTGAAAATTAAAATGTGTTTGTCAATCACCAAGTAAGACTTGGAATATATCTACTTTACATCTGAAGAACGGATAGAAAGATGACATCACGTTAGCAATTTTGTTATTAAAGCTGTATTATGTCAAGAGTTCGCCGTTTCTGCTATACTAGTTTAAAAATAAATAATGAAATATGAATATATTGAAAATTATGAGTTATCAGTATTTTAAGTGTTGACAAGATAGTCCCGATTGTCGAGTAGTATTGCAACGATAATAATCCATTTTAACGTGAAATTGTTATAATCCATTTCAGTTGTCTAGATGGATATGGGTTTCGCATGTAAATAAATGCCTAATTAATAATTTATTTAACAACTTAAGACAAACCAAAACCAGAAGTATAGGCAGATTAAGCTCACGCGTAATGCCCCATTAATTTATAAGAACTCACCTATCATGACGTCTAACGATTCGGAACATGGCGACAGCAATAGAACTAGAATAACCTGCAGCAAAAACCTGGACTGTTCCATGTCTAGAACTCTGAAGAAAAAAAGAAATGAAATGAAATGGGATTTAACGTCCTACTGTTCGGCTCCGAAACTGGGCTAATGAAGACGGGCATACGCCATACAGTGTGCTATGAAGGAAATTTTGCCCTGGCAGCGGCACTATCGCCTACTCTTATATCGAATTCCAACTGCCAAGGGATCTTTTACGTGCATTCCAATGTATACACGGGACCTCGGTTTTTCGTCTCATCCGAAGGACTAGACAGCTGTCCTTGTCAGGCCGTCCGTTCTGCACCACTGACAAGGAGAAACCACGTCGGAAAATCTGGATCAACTTTCTCGACCAATGCAGGGATCGAACACCCGACCTCCCGGCTAGCGAGCCAGCGTCTTAACCACCTAGAAACCGTGGCTCCTGCCTTAATCACTGAGTCATCGTGACTCACAATTGTGATTTTATTTTACTCAACCGATACATTCCACTTAAACATTAAAGCAGAAGTCGATTTTCATTCTGGATTTCCAACAAGGTTGACATTTTTATTGTAATACATGGATGTGTTGTCAGTTCCAAAATAAAATGAAAAATCATTTTAACACTAAATCTAAACCAAAACAATTTTGTTGCGGTTTTTTTTTATTGTCATATATCAAAAAAAGGGGAAGGTTTGAGATAGGTCTAAACATTTTAAAGGTCTCATTATTAATGATATAATCATTCATTATCTAGAACTGTCACCTTCTGTAATACTGGTGTAGTTATCAGATCGTCTGATAAGAGTACAAATCAAGATTGATCAACATTAATGAGTTAATCGACCTTAATGGATGGTAATCAGAAAAATACAGATTGTCATCACATTAACATCTACAGATATACCCGATGTGATGAGAATCTCTTTAATCGCATTTAGTACAATTAGTCCCCGAAGTTGTCTCAATCAAGAAAAGTTTATTATGTTCTAATATGACCAACGGACCCATTCATCTGATTTGATATAATGCATTTCTTGCTTATTGTTTGAAATGTCTGTTAATGTTGTGTCTTGTCGACTAGTCTACCTTGTGTAATTAATATCGTGTGTCGTGTCGACTACTCTGCCTTGTGTAATTAATATTGTGTGTCTCGTCGACTAGTTTATCCTGTGTAATTAATTTTATGTGGTGAAGTTAATATTATATACTAGCAGGTTTCCTGGCCTAGCCAGGTGCCCAAATGCGCCCGGACCCGATTCGCCCAGGGCCCAAATTCGTCCGGAACCCAAATTCGATGGCTTTAAACATTTGAGGGGGTCATGCTGGTTAATTTGATACCACATGGCGGAGGGCGGGGGCAATGAAGCGTGATAACTCCAAGGGGTCTATTATTGAATGAATGAATAATACGTGGGTTAACGTCCTAGTGGTCTGCCACACCAACCACCCGGGATAATGAAGACAAGGCAGACCGAGGTTAATGCGACGTGTACCATGTATGGTTACTAATTTTCTTAAAAAAAAGGTGGGGGAGTCATATCTGTGAGACAATCATTGATTTCATTTAGCCCAAACTAGATTGAAATCTTGGTAATTATTATACTCATATTAGAATTGGATTTATTTATTAATTATTTTTTTTTAAATTAAACATATATTATGCTAGAGCTAAATCTACCTATTGCAGATCTTTCTTTCTTCGGCCTTATTTTGATTTAATTTAAAAATGGAAACGCGAGGCTTGCCTTAGAACAACCTGTACCATGGTTGCAATATTATTAAAGCACGCATCTTGTCAAACCTTCAAAGGCTAATATCTTCGCTCCCAATGGAGCAATTGGAATGAAATGTTTCAATAAATTAATTTTGCATTATCTATTTTCGAACTATTACAGCAAAAATGGCCAGCTCTTTATCTGAATCTTATCTTAAATAATGTATCTTTAATTATTTTTATTTATTGAAATATTTTTTTTTAAAAAATAAAAAAATTAAACAAGAATTGAAACAGAAATGAAAACCTGGAGTATATATTTTATTTGTGGTAATAGAACATACATGTATAACCATTGATTTTGATCACGGTCCGTTGATTTGATTTCTATAATTATTTTTACATAAAAAAACAACATTTTTTACGTGTATTATAATTTTGACACTGCGATAAATAACAGTAATTTCATCAGAATGATAGCTATAAATTGTATTGTTCCAGCTGATAGAGAATTAATGATTTGTACATAAAACTTACAGAGAATTGAAACAGAATGATTTGTACTTAACAGTTATACAGAACTGAAACAGAATGATTTGTACTTAACAGTTATAGAGAACTGAAACAGAATGCTCAATGGATATAGCGGTTGATAAAAATCCAATTGGTTTTAACGTGCTATTATTCTGCCATTGATAACAAAATACAGAGAGGGATAGATAGACAGAGACAGGGACACAGAGAGAGAGAGAGATAGACAGAGACAGGGACAGAGAGAGAGAGAGAGACAGAGAGAGAGATTAAATGTATTTGGCTAATCATAATGTATTATGTACATTATAATGGCTACATTATTTTGTAAATATTGTATTTTTTGATTGATAAAAATACTAGTTGTTCCGTCGTTGATACGTTATAATTATTATAAATAATTAACTAATGTTTATCGTATATACCAGATATGTGTTCCATATTCGCGCAACATAATTTTGTAAATAATTAAAGTTTGAAGCACCAGAATATGTGCTATGTTTTAGTACATTAAAGGGACAATAACACTCTTGCTAGCTTGAAAGCTCCAGAAAATAAATAATAGCCTTATTATTAGTACTAGATGTTTAAGTGTCCTACCTGTTGTGTAAATTATCCATTACATTCTATTTTACTTGTCCAGTGGGTTCGAAAATATTTTTAAATCGAAGTTTCATTTGAAAAGGTTTACGTTAGACGTTTCAAACCATTATGTTGAATTTTTCAAAATTTTTAAATAAAGTGTGTTAAGATGAAATTTGTATCATCAATTAATTGAAATATTCTAAAATAGTACAATTTGTTGACCAGAATAAAGATTGGGACATATTATTCAGTTACAACAAGAGTGGTATTGAGCCTTTAAGTTGTATAATCTTTGTGAGGCATTTAATAACTGAATAGAGCAATAAACTATAACACATACTTAGCTTAATAACGTTGAGAGAATACTCTTCGAAACGTCGCCCAAATAAAGAAGTAGAATGTTTTTTCATAAGTATGTATTATAGTTTATTACTAAGTTATATGTTATGTTATAAAAAATGAAAGTTTGACTTAAGAAAATGTTTGTTATGTCGCCGATATATTATATTATCAATACTTTATGTTATTCTAACCACGATGTGTGTTATGTCGCCGCTACATTATATTATAAATAATGAATTTATAAATACTTTATGTTTGCTAACAAGGGTATGTGTTATGTCGTCGCTACATTAATTTACTTTATGATGTTCTGACAAGGGTATGTGTTTTGTCGTCGCTGGATTAATTTATAAATACTGGGGGGGGGGGGGGGGTTCTAACCAAGATGTGTGTTCTGTTGTCACTATAACATTATGGTATAAATAATTCTCAGAAAATCTTCACAAACATTATCTACTTAAGGAAAATTCTCAAATCGGAAAACCTGTGGAACCAAGCCTTTAACGTCAATTAAAATCTAAATTTATATTTTATTTTGCTGAAAGCTCTTTCGGGATAGCACATTTCATAAACAATTAAAATCTAAATCTATATCTTGCTTTAATCCCGTTTAATAAACAATTAAGAATAAGGATTTGCAGATAATTTACGTTTCTAAGAAATCTCTATCGTCAATTTGTAAAAATCTTAATAACCATTAAAACATATTCTCCAATACACCAGAAATTAATTAAATTAAATTATAGATTAATATTGATGTTCTGATATAGCAATCTCCAACGTGTTAAGGTTTCTATAACCATATAAGTCCACTGGTCAACAAATCCATTAAACCATCTATTAAAAACAGAACCTTAATTACTCATCAAAACTTCTTTAAAAATGTTTTAAGGGTGCAACCTTTTCATTGGCCAAAATCGTAAATTTCTGCTGTAAATTTCGAGCTCAACCAATGAACAATAAGTATTCTTAAAGCGTTTCCTTTTGGGTTGTTTGCGAATAAGGTCTCGGGCTAATAAATTACAATTGTAGCCATATTGATTGCTTGGACAGATCACTCATGTTGAATAAATTGAAAGTAGAAATCAAGAAACCATGACGTTCCAAAATAAAGCATAGAAACAATTATGGCCGGAAATCGTGGTTATTTTATTTGTTATATTAACATAGTATTATATATTTTTATATGTACAGAATGATTTGTGACACTTAATAAATTATTATTGTTATTATTATTATTATTATTAACAAGACTAATTGATACGCATCCATCTAAAAATAGAATTTATACCCGCAAGAAATCACAA